CAGCGAGAAGGCGTGTTCAAGTCGTGTCGCAGGCCGATGGAGTGGAAGGAGATTTTACTTGGATGAGCTACTTTCTGTCGCTGTTATGCGAAGTCATGAGGTCAATCAAACGTTACGTGCCCACACCCTCTCACGTCGTCGCCAAGACCCGAAGTACTGTGAACACATCGCCGCCCACAATACTTATGTTGGACATGGTCTTACTACTAGACTAGTTCATGACAAGGTTACAAGATGACACCATCATGTACAGCACGAAACCTCTCACAAAGATTAAAACCGACTTTACTGGGGCTATCAGGAATGCAAATCACAGCAGGCTATTCTTATTTAAAGGAGTGACTGGTATTCTTTCTAAATGAGTGACTAACTAGAGGAACCGTGTAAGGCCAACAGTTGAAGTAGCGCGGAAATCAGAACGCAAGACAGGGGTCGAGACGGACGAAGGAAAACGGGTATGGTATGGGCAGGGAAAGGGGGGTGGGGCGGTAAGAGATCGCAAAGGACAAGACGAACAAAGTGTGGGCAGGAGGGGGCGGGGAGCGAATGAGGTGGTGGATGCGCGAACGTAGGAAAAAGGGATGTGTGAAAGAGCGACTGATCAATTCAGACCAGCTCCCGAAGGAGAGATGGAAGAAAGGAATTAATCTTACCAACAGCGCTGTGATTTGGGCGCCACTTGGTAAATCCACATGGTTAGATGTAGAACATCTTCTCGTCGAGCTGTTCCAGCCAGGGGTTGTCGCGTCCGAACGGTTGACTAACTTCGTTGTTGCCACTTGGGTTGTCACTGAAGAGATACTCGCGCATCACCTTGACCATCTCTTTGCCGTTTTCCTCGACCTCTTTGTCGCCTCTGTGCAGTCGGCGCAACATGCTGGGCACGAGGTCAAGTCGATTAGTAACGGCAAACCGGAAGTAGTTGAAGGTATGGAGTGCGAGCTTTCGGGCGTAGTACAACGGAAGTGCGATTGCGACGCGCTTGTCGAGCTGGAAAGTAGTGTTCAAATTGTACGTCTGTAACTTGTTAGCGAAGATAGTAGAGTCATATCCGAGAACTTACCAGCCGTGCTAGGTCTGCCATGCTTAGATCGAGAGAAGGCAAAGTTCCTGTTGCGGGCTGAACAAAGTACCGGAACTGGCGGCCTTTATTGGAAGCTTTAAGCTCGCTGGTAGTAAAGATTTCCTTCTCGTCGTCGGCCATACTGGGTTCCATTCGGGGATCGTAAGGAGAGTTTCGACATTTGTTGGCCACTACGTAGGTGAAGCTCACTCTTGTACTGAACACGGCAGTCAGGGCTTTGGAGATGGTGTCCTTCTCTTTGTCGATAGTTGTCTTCTCCAGGTGACCGATACTGTCACGGTAGAATATGACGGACGGAACGGCGTCGGCATGGTATTTCTTACAAGCCTGAAGCCTCTCGGTTACCATAACGTCGAGATCAAGGATTTGGGCTTCCATCGTGCGCTTCAGATGTTTACCACGCCATTCAGCTGAGCTATATGTCGGCTGCAAACGCACCGAGCCCGGAAAGTTTGTCAACCGCTCGTCGATGGAAGCTACCACAGCTGCAACCGAAGGACAGTGCTCGGCACATCCGGGGCCGGGGTGCGATATATGTGCTCCGATGATCAATGGATTTGAGACGCCGCTGGTGTCACTCAGAACGTCGGCCGTGAAAAGCGGCTGACCGTGCATGACCGTAAGAGTCTGAAGGACCTTTTGTGGAAAATAGTTGACTTTGCCCTCATTGGCTCGCATCGACTGGTCAAGGTTCTTCTCTGTCATGCAAAACGTAACAGCGCCGATCTTTCGGTTGCCGAACTTCTGTAAGTCTGCGCGGATGTTGCGAAGCTCTGATACAGACCGTCCTGTACTATCGATAATCGCGAGGATGGTATTTGGCCTTGCCTGGTAGAGAGCTTGCAGCTCAGCTGAACCCCCAAAGTCTGGTAAGAGTAGTAATGGCTTCGTGTCCGCAACGGAGGCGGTGGGAAGGTTAAACTCCGGATCGATCGTGATGAGTTCTGAATCGTTGTGCTGCGCTTTAAGATTATTGACTATGTCATTCACAACAATTGAGGGATTCCGTTGGACTCCCTTGGCTTCGACGAAAATAATGCCAAGTCTCAGGCTGATGGTTTGACTGGAGACGGAGGATGTGAGACGCCTTGGAGGAATCGGCTTTGTCTTCGTGCTTTTCCTCGATCCTTTTGGGGTGAGCGCTTCGAACTCTCCAATTGGAATTTGCTAGATGAAGAGTCAGCTGAACTTCTCAATTTCCTCGAACTATCTTCTGTACTCACTCCCATGTCGTCGTACTTGAGCAAGCCGGCGAGAGGCTCAACGATACTGTTAGCCACTTCCTTTGCACGCCGCTCGTGGTCGTCATCCGATTCGTAAGCCTTACGCGCGTGCTTCATAAGAGCTTTCGTCAATGCTCGGTGAGTGATCATTTGATCGCCGCTTGTGAGTAGAGTTTCGAGGGGTACCCAGGTGTTTCTAGCAATCTCGGCAAGTGGAAGCGAGGGGTACTCCAAGCTTCTCTTAAGGATCCCTGGTGTGGAATTAGTTCATCGCGCTTCGTGAAAGATTGGACGAATCGGAGTGACTTACTGGTAGCAAAGTACTTGTGGACGCTAAATCTCTCGTTCTCGATCTGAAAATCCGGAACGGCGCCTGCTAGCTTAACGTTTTGAATGACGAAAGGGTGCTTGTTACCGCTATCGTTCGTATCCATAGACGACTGTGAGACGTTCGCACTTTGAGATGGGACAATAGTGCTATTTCGAGGTGATGGGCGCGACAAATTTCCGCTCGAAAGGTCTTGTCCAGTTGCAGTACCTGTTGCGGTGCTTCCAGTACCCGATGTTGTAATGAGTGGCAGGTCGTGGTTACGGGTAACGTGAAGACCAACCAGCATGGATCGGACAGTCGAAAGGTTGATGTGTTCAGGACCAGTAAGAACGCTAGGTCCCAAAACACCTAGCACCAGGTCGGAAAGGCGGATGCCATCCCCTAAGCCTGGTACGAGATCGAATTCAAGATGTAGAGCCGGCTGTACGGGATCGATCTTAACGTTGGATCGAAATAGAACCTTCATGAAATTGGCCTCTTTGATGACGAGTGCATCTTGCGACTTCAAAGACGAGAATGACGACCAATCTGAAGAAACGGATGCATCTGTCTCAAAATCTGGCCTGAGCGGCGAATTGGGGTCCTCGGCGCAGTTATCAAACAGTATCTGCTTACAGTTACTCAAGAATCCTTTCGGAGGAATTGAGCGAATGGTGACATCTCGGATGAGCAGCTTGAGCATCTTCCAGTACTTGTCGGTCATGGCTTTGGTCGTGGCCTCGGTCTTGACGGAAAACACCTCGCGAGCCTGTACATCGCAATACACAGCCTCAGCAATCTTTTCGTTTCTGACTCGCTTTTCGACCGTGGGGACGAGAATTTCCTTCCGGTCGCTTATCTCTCGAAGCTTCCGCTCGGTTCCCTGTTCCATGTCGATGTCCAAAACGAGGATGTGATCGATCAGTCCTTCTTCCGCCGCATTCTTGAATCCAGTTTCGGCTAGTCTAAGCGAATAATTGTTCTCAAGCTCAACAAGCTCTTTCTTGATGAAGCTTTCGATGGCATGTTTCCTCAGCCTTTTGCTAAAGATAGGGCGATGATCGCTGTCTGTATTGACGTTGGCATCGGCGAGACTGGTCACTTTGATCGGGATGATGTGGATGCTGGGCAGAATTTTGAAGGAGTAGCTTACGCGACATAAGGCGGTGTTGCTGGGCGGTTCCACGGAAGGTTCAACTGTCGATAGCCAACTTTTGATGTTAGTCTCCTGGTCGAGTTCGTCGGAAACTCCATCTAGTTGACTTGAAGCTAGATTAGTCTTTCTCGGGCGTTTCCTCAGGGCGAGGGGAGTTGGATCGGATGAACTAGCCATATTTGTAAGGTACAAAGATGAGAGTGTGCTCTGGTGTGGTCAGTCAAGAATGGCAATGATATTCGAGCTTTTTATGCTGTGAGAGAGTCCAGTGTCATGTTTGCTGCCAACGGTCATCTAGTCATCCGTCCATACTGTGTTAGCTTGTCAGGCCCAATCCGTGTTGCGGTTTTCTACCGCAAATACCTGTAGATGACATGCTATCTATCCATCCTCTGCATCGCGCTTGACGAGCGGTTTGCTGTAGGGCATGATGGCATGTCCAACGTCCAGCGGCCTGATTGGATCGAAGTTGAGGCACATGGACTGGAGGATAACACGGAAAATCATTGAAGGCCTCGAACAAGGGGACAGTAGTAATACGATGACAATGATGCTTAGGTGCTCTTGGCTGAAGAGAAGATGTGTCGTTTGAAGATTACGTGCTTCGGGAATATGCCGAGTGCGATCTTCTTACTGTGTGGCCAGAGCTCTTCTCGGACTGAAGATTGATGGATTTCCAGTGGTGTTGGATTGTTGGTCTTCGTCGTCGGCCACATAGAGGGCGGTAATGCGCAATTTGTGACGGTACGGTCTTCGAGGTACCATCGAATGCATCTGCGTAGTCTGTTCACGGGCAAAGTATCGCAGGATACGTTGGCTGGTTGGCGTGCGACGGTGGAGTGTAGAGGCGTAGAATCAGGGATGATGAAGCACATGATGACGTCATCTTACGTAATCCACGTCGCCCACTGCCTACCGAGCTAGCCCTCTCATTCAACAAGCTGATCCTTTCATGTCGCATTCGCGAAGATCGTCGGGTATTCAATGCCGCAAGAGATGGATGATGCACGAGATCGTGACGATGCAACGGTTCTACTGTAGCCAGGTACCTGTCGATTCATTTTACAACTCGACATTTGGGCCCTACGATATTGCATCATACCAGTCTATCTGCAACACACACGGTACATAAGAAAGACCATATCAGGGGACTAATACGAGTGACAGTATATGAAGAGTCTCGCACTTTCCAAATGACGTTTCATTGTGCGCTCGTACCATGCGCCGCTACTCAGGTACATCATCCCGCGATCTACGACTCAGCTTCTCCCATTTCTGCGACATAGCTACTGAGCGCAGCGTCACCATCTTGACCCCCCGCTTCGCTCTCTTCATCCGTGTGATGTGCGCCTCAATATCCTTCGCAATGTCATTCAGCGCCTTCTTCGTTTTCTTCTCCATTGGGGACGGTGACTTCGCAACGGCGTCTTCCTCCTCTTCTATCAATATCTCCTCACTCTTCCCTAATTTCTGCTTCTTACCCTTCTTCTTAGTACTGATACGTATCCTCTCCGCAGCTACTGCCATTTCGGCATCCTCAACACGGCACAGTCCCAACTTGCCCAACACCTCCGCCTCAACCTCCGCGCCGTACGCCTTGCGAAACTGGTCATCTAGCATGCGCTTCACAGCTACAGGTTCGACCTGCATCATCTTGCAAGTCGGGAACACCGCCAGTTCAAGCTGCTGTGCCATCGAACGGAGAAGTACATCGTCGACCTCATCGCGATCAATGATGGGCAGCTCACCGCGGAGCTTGCCGATGACGGCGTGTTTCTCGTCATCGTTGAGATTGGCAGCTTGATATTGCTCAAATGTGTATTCAGTGATGCTAGGTTCGCGTTTCGCGACTGTAGTGGTATTGGGTGGCAAAAAGGAAGGCGGGTGTGCCGGCGTGCCGATCCTTATGTCATTCACTCCTCTCAGACGCCCCACGACAACTCTGGGTTCGCTTTTCTTGTCGCGTTTAGGCATACCTTGATGAGTATAGTGCAACGTACGGAGTTGAGTTGAATAGGCGTTTCTGCTGACGAATGTGATGTAGTAAAGCAACCAAAAGCTTTTGTAGCCAGAAGGTGCTTTGCACATGACCTACTGGCTCTGTCATTCACTTCCATGTTGATCTTACCGGAGCGAGACTGTGCTTTTCGATGCTCTCGCATCAGTAATTTGTACTACGCGCACTTATGTCGCCCGCCGTATGAGGACACTGATAGCGAATACCTGACGAAAGATGAGAACGATTTGACAAGAGTGAAAACGCGATGCATTTGATGATGGTAAATATTTCATTAATGGTTTTCTTATATCATTCACATCGAATCATGCACCCCGTGCCTCTGGATCGCTCCAAGCTCATAGCATGAACAGTCCCGCAAGGACACCAAAGACACTGACGCCAACGGCGCCTTGACCAAGACGTGCAGCTGCGTTCTCAGTCTGCTGAGGCGGTGCACCAGTCGTGGGTGAAGTGCCGTTGCTGGTACCGTTACCAGCTCCGGGAGTGTCCTCTCTTTGGCCGTCGACCTCCTCGATACGTCCATCGAGCTCGATCTTTACTGGTGTCTGGCTCAAGATGTATGAGGTGAGTACCTCGTCTTGAGTGTCCAGGGTAATGAAATCAGTGGAAGGCTCGAAGAAGTTGTCACCACCTCCAGCGATGAAGTCAAGAGTGACCATCTGGTAGGTAGTGTCGTTGTTGAGAGGCTCGTCGCCGATGGTGACAGAGACAAGCTTGGAATTGTTGGCGTTCTCGGGGTTATATTCGACCTTGATGCCAGTGCTGACCTGGAAGAACGAGGTGACTTCCCTGCCATTGCCGACGTTGACACCAGTGACGATACCCTCCAACGACTCCCAGAGAGTCTTGCCGTCAATCTCGACTTGAACAATGGCGTTGCCGAAGGGGAACGAGGTCAATACTTCGCCGCGGGTGATGTCACCCTGGTCAATGGTGGCACGGATACCACCAGCGTTGATGAGAGCAAAGTCGACGTCATCGGTGTTGTTCTTGCGGTAGGCGAGCATAGCATCAGCCATGAAGTCACCGAGCAGACACTCTTGTTGTTGGCAGGTCGTCTGGTCGAGCTCTACTTCGCTGGTACCAAGCACCTCAGCAGCGAACTCCTCGAAGGGAATGCGCCACTCCTCAATCTGCTCTTGAAGGTCCTCATCCTGTTCAGTAGTGTTGGTGAGGTGAATCGGGGCGCCATGATAAGCGAGAATCTTGCCCTGAGGATCGTATGTGACATCGATGTAGCCGAGGTACTCGCCCCAGCGGTAGGCAGTAACAATGAAGACCTCATCGCCATCTTGGTTCTCAACAATGGTTGGGTATTTGCCCTCGGCATCTTCCATGTCACCGAGGAGGGTGTGGCTGTGGCCGCCCATGATGAGCTGGAGACCAGTGGTAGCCTTGGCCAGCTCCTGGTCTTTGTCGTAGCCAATGTGAGTGAGAGCAGCAATCCTGGTGATGTTGGTAGTGGCCTTGATCTCATCGATGGCACCTTGGACGGCCTCAACGGTGTTAGAGAAGACGGTGGTAACATCGGCGTTGCTGAGACTGCCAGTCTCCTCTGCAGTGACACCGATCAGCGCCAAGCCGTGCTCCTCGAAGATGGTGTATGGCTTGACAGTCTTGTTGACGTTCTCGTCTTCGGAATGCACGTTCGCGCTGACGATGGGGAATGTGAGGTTGACCAGGAATTCTCCGAGCGCCGCATCACCGCCATCAAACTCGTGGTTGCCGAGAGTCATGGCATCAAATCCGAGCTGGTTCAGAGTCTCCGCAATCTTCTCGCCGCCGTAGTAGCCGTAGAACAGAGTGCCCTGGAACTCATCACCGGCGTTTAAGAAAAGACTGTCCTCGTAGTTGGGGCGTTGCTCCTCGATGACGGTCTTCACACGCGCGTAACCACCATAGCAGCCGCGCTCGGGCCTGGTACAGTCGGTTCCTGAGGAGCTGAACTCATCAAGGTGGGCATGCACGTCGTTGATGTGGAAGAATGCTGAATCACGTGAGCAGAAGCAATGTTGGAATCAACACATGCTGACTTACAGATGTTGTAGTTTCCGTCCGCATCAATGCCTCGCTTCACCATACGTTTGCTGTACAGCGCGTCTTCTGCTTGAGCGATCGCCGCCAGCGCCGAGACGGCGATAAGGGACGCGCTAGATCGAGTGGCGAACTTCATCTTCACTCCGACTGGGCTTGGTGGAGTTGGTGAGAAGAGGCACGAGCACGACAGTAAGCCTCCTTTCTGGCAGCCTGTCACTATTTGTACCACGCAAACAAAGCGGACGCCGCCGCCTCAGTAGCTGCAGTCACGGCATTTCAGCCTTGGCAACCTTGGCGGTGGCCGTGCTTAATTCTCGGCAACTGCCTCTTGAGGTTTGGCGCCTTGCTGTGCCTGATAACAATTCACCAATGAGCAACACACGTGCGGCGTGGGCTTACAGGACGCAGGAACGTTGCACGGAGACCTGGAACTCGGCGTTGCCTGCTGCATGATTTCGATGACATTGCCGTCAACACGTGGGCTTGGGATGTGAAATAACTAATGGAGCTGGCGCCTAGAGGAGGAAATACAGTCCTCTGGGAGCCGAGCTATCCATAGTCGAGTTCATACTAACGGGAAAACGGGCGGACCGATGACGGTGATGATGATACCGGTAACGGGCCAGATGTGGCATGCCAACTCCGAAATCCCCAAGACCTGGATCCTGGAAGCCCCGGACTTCAGAACAGGTTCGTTCGTACGTAGAGGAAGATGAACATGTATAGTACATTGCGCTACGACAAAAAGACGAATATGTAGTAAGCAAACAAGAACGGTATACAAAATGTGAAAATCGCCCAAACGCAATCCTCCAACATCAAAGCCAACAAAACCGTTATCACACCTGTGCGAGCCTGCCGCACCTCCTCCAAGACGCTCGCGTCCCACTGCATCGGTTTCCAAGTCGTAAAAGCGTTCGCGATAAATGCGGGGTCCCACCACTCGCCCCGCCCTGTCGAAAAGGACGCCCCGGCTTTATTACATGCTAGTGATCGTCAGCGTAAACCCACTTATCTTACCGGACCTCCATCAATCTTCCCATCATCTCATTCCATCTCTTGCATAGCGCTCCTTTCTCGTCCGTAACCAAAGCCTTGATAGTGGTCGTTAGCAAAGAAGAAGAACCGCTTTAGAAGTCTCTTACCTCCAATAGACCCGTCTCTTAGATCACCAAATCGGCACCCTGAAGACATTTCAGGTGCTCGTTCGCAAACTTCTCTAACCGTGACTCAACCCCCTTGGTCGGCCATCGCAAAGGCTTCTTGTACGCCTTGACACCCTTCGCCGGGATAGCCGCATCTTCGAACGGCTCCTTGAACGACCCGAAAACCAGCACCGGTGTTGCCAAAGCCCGATTACCGCACCACAACTTGCCAGCCTTGCCGATGTTGCTCAGATCCTGCATCATGCCAACGTCATCCGCGGTGATGACATTGGAGGCCTGCAAGGCGATCCTGAAGTCTGCGTTGCCGTAGTCAAGCTGACCCAGCGCTGGTCGCTCGCTGCGAGCCAACGCTTCTTGGCGGCGGCGCGCCTCGTACCGCTGGACGCTGGCGTAGCGGTTGAGGAAGCGTCGCTTGATGGTCAGAGCGCCACTGTCGGAGCCTTCAAAGAGTTGAGTTGCACCTCTGCCTGGCGAGGGTGGCTGAGAGTGGAAAAGGCCCGTCGGTGGCTCCCAGGAAAAGGACGCTGTGGACCCATCAACCGCAGTAGCGGACTGCTTGACGGTCTCTTCTACGTCGTAGAAGCGTGGCGCGATGGGTCCCTCAACGTAGCAAACGTGCTTCTTGACGATCTGGGAGTTGGGCTTGCGCATGGCCGACTTCAGTACGGTCTTGGCCTTGCGTGATGCCTGTGCATCTGGCTTCTTTGCGGACCTCTTCGTGTTTGCACGGCTGACTCTGCGCTTCGACAACGAAACTGGAGCCAAGTTCCGCTTCGGGAGCGACTTGGCAACAGTGGTTGGCTTGTTCGGAGTCTTGCGCAGAGCTGCCACCGGAGCGACCGGCTTGCGTGGCTTTGACGCCGTGGCGTCGCGAGTCGATGATGATGTTGACGTTGTCTTCGAAGTAGTCATCTGTCGTTTCGTAGTCTTCTCAGAGACAACAACAGATTTTGGCTTGACAACAGGCAGCCGTGAAGCTGGAGCCTTCGCCGAATGTGGCCTTTCGACAAAAGCTAAAACTGAAAGCTGTTAGTCGTGAAGACAATTCGAAAATATCAAACTTACCTCCTTCACTGGCGTCCTGTGTCAGATGAGACTCAGTCGTCACCGCAGTCCTTGATCGCACGCGCTCTAGACCAACCGAATCACCGGTGTAGTCAGGGCAGCGAGACAGTCCAACGAACCAGTCCCGGTTGGTGCGTAGCCCCATACCGAGCCGCTTCATACTGACCATCTTCCGTCCGAAGAGGTTCATGGCGGAAGTCTGCTGCTCGGGGCTGACGGAGTCATCGAAGCTGTTGTCGTTGAACATGAGCGAAGTGTTGTCCATGTCGTCGTCCGCGGGCTCATCGATCTCCGACGCCGGCTCTTCAAACTCCATCGTAGGCTTCTCGGCCTCCTCATATATCTCTTCCTCATCATCCTCCGCCTCCGTAGTGGTCTCGGCAGCGAGTACCGTAATCTTACGCTGAATAACCACACTCGTCATCCTCGCCCAAAGCCTCGATTGCCTCCGTACACTAGCCTCTTTCACCGCCGTAATCGTAGGCCTCGGGATACGCGTCTTACCAATCTTGCTATCCGCATTCTGCTTATAGTCAGCTCGAGCTCTAGCAAGTATCTTGGGTACCCTTGGCGCCGAAGCGGTAGTAATTGTCCTTGACGCCAACACACGAGGTGCTGGCTTAATTTGCTTCGCCGCCACCGGAGTAGCAGCTAGCCTTGTCCTTGAAGAAGTTGGTCGATGGAGCCGCTGGTACAGCGGCCTGACCGGGTTGGCAGTGACATTAGTGTTGACTGCGGCGCGGCGCATGTCGGGGACGCGGCGGGCAGGAGAGAGCGCATTCACGACTTTCTGGGTAGTGGCAATTTGCATTGTGACTAGTCTGTGACG